CTATGTTAGGCAATATATCCCCCCCATGTATGTACGGAAGGAAAGCTAGGCAAATAACTAAGTCAACTAGAAATGGAACTTGGAACAGCATTAGCGTAACGTCGATTATGCTAAATAAGCATGACGATTCTGGCTGTTTCCGTTAATCCAGTGAGTGATCACAGCTGTTTAAATACGTGAGTCAAAGGGGAAGGAAGCAATATCACGAATTTTCAGAGTGTAACAAGCTGTGTCAAGGCCGTTTTTAGGCAAAAATTTATTTAGTAGATAAGTGAATCGTTGATTGAAATTATCCCACATGTTAATGGTCATTGGAAGAGTGAGACAACTGAAAGTCATTTTCGTCCATGTTAGTCGGATATTTTGGATTGCTGTTACCGAACCGTTCGTTCACACGTTGATTTTTAGCTTTATCCTGCAGATATTCACAACTCATCTTGATGCAGATTGTTCACAAATGTTGCTTTTCACCTTACTTTTGTTTCCGTTGTTGTTAAAATTAGTTATTTTGTTTGTTACGAGAGTACTTATCAACAGAACAGTTCATCAACTTCCTTTTAATAATGTCATACGTTCCGTTCATCCGTGCTTACAGTGTTTTAGTTGTTTTTCAGCTGTTTATGAGATAGGCTTGTGTAGAAGTTTTGGAAATTATGCACATGAACATGTTTGGGTAGCAGATGTTGTTCCCAGTTCATTTGTTGGTTGCCGCTATTGTTGCTGGTTCAAATGGTTGCTTAATATGTAGGAATCCGGAGAATACAATATCTTTCACGTTCATGTTTACAGTATGCAAAAATCTACGAGTAAATCTGGTGAGGAGAGCAAGGTCAGAGTTGATATTAACAAGGTTATTGAAGAACAGTTTAAACCTGGAGAATTTAGAACCTAGGTTGGAGTTGAAAAGGCCTTGAAGCTTTTAGAGAAGGTGAATATACCATCAATGTGTCTATTATCAGTTAACGAACACCTGATATATTGTGGCAGAAGCTAAGTTGAACAAGGCTGAGGCACCTGTGAAGTATGAACATGTGGTGTTTGCATGTACCTTTGGCGAGAAAGGGAAATCCGAAAGTAATCGGATCCGTCTTAAAGAGTAAGTTACCTACGGTTGTTAATGCCTAATGGATTAGATGTAAATACACTGGTTGCCCATCAGTGATACGTATCCGATATCACTGCCATGAATTTATTATCCAGTCTGTATATATGATTCCCAATCACTGTTGCACTCGTGAATACTTAATGAAGGATGCCGAAGCCCGCAAATTTAATGAGTAAGAACTCTTTATAGTTAAGCCAATGCTGTCTGTTTCATTGGAAGCTGAAAAAGTTATTGAGTACGTGGCAGAACGAAGGTGAGACTTTGACTGACAAGAGCAACCGTTCAGACTGTGGTTTACGGTCAGTGGTTTTTTCTAGGTTACAAAAAGTTGAGAAGTTGATTGTAATTCGGGATGGAAACAATGGCAGAATACAAATAGCTTGTTTCAGTTAGAATAGGCAAATCGAAATCTACCACAAATTCCCAGAGGTTGTGGGTTTCGATGCCACCTCCAACACCAATGAAGAAAAGTAGGTGTAAAGGTTTTCTAAATCCAATATATGAAGTTATAAACTATTTCATTTCGTTGTTACAGACTGTCGAAAAGGATAATCTGTCGGTGATGATCACGTGGAGCAGACAAGAAAGGCTAACTGATGTAATACTAATCCTTGAAAAATTTAAGTATATCATGGGCTCAATGCCTAATAACGAAACGTTCATAATGGACTGCGCAAAAGCACTGAGAAGTGCAGTGGAGACAACTTACCCACTTTGCAATATAATATTGTGCGCATTCCATGTTTGTCGTGCAATGCCTAAGGAGGTAAGTATTGTGAATTGCGAGGATTTTTTCGACAAAAAGTAAACTCGTCAGGTAGTACATATCTAGTATGATTCGCGAGGAATCAAATAAAAATTAAATTTTAGAAGTGATCATAAATTTATTCACAGATTCTACACTCACCTCAGTATCATACGGCATCTAGATCATCGTTTTCGGAGGTGTATTCACAGACAGTGACTACCTTCGAAGAAATTATGAGCAGCAGCGTTCAACCGTAGTGTTTCGTCAATTGGCAATAACACCAATAATCGTGTTGAATGTTTGCACATTTTGATGAAACGGAATTTGTCGAGAGGTATTACTCTACACAAATGTATATAGGAGGTGTACTGGTGGAGTGACAGGAGGTTGCAAAGGAAGGACGGTGGACGAGATGTTAAGATAATGGTGGGCAACAAAATACCTACTTTGCAGCCCTTATTGTCTGACTGTTACAACCCTATAGAAATAGGTTTTTTTCTCACGGTGCATTACAACAATTAGAAATCATAAGCACAATGTCTTCGGTAAATTTGCTCTTACATTTTAAGTGACTGCAAATAGTGAATCATTTGAGGTAGTAGGATAAATACCTCTAAATGCTTTCGTGGAGATTAGTATGATTGACTTTTCGAGACCAGGAGATGAGATTTTTATCAGGAAAGTTCTCAGGATGTTCACTTTTACTTTGTAATTCAAAGATAACGTTAGTGTACTTACTAAGGTAGTAGCTGTAGGGTATTAGCTTCCGAGGAAACTATGTTTTCGTAGCTGCGTAGCTTTAGGTAACGTGTAGTAGAAGTAGGTTGATTTTGTCTAAATATGTTAAACGTTGTATAACTTGTCAAATCTTAGTTCATACTTACAAGTTAGTTTTATAAATAATGAATGTATCGTGCAATAGTTTACTTTGATTTGCACACCTAGCTGATAAACATTATGCCTTCATGTAGTATACATTTAAGGCTGATACGCTGTGTGATGAGTTCTGTAAAACACGGTATTATCAGGATTAAAGTAAGAAGAACACGTCAAGCAGGATAAAGTGGTGTCATTAAAATCTGTTGGTTGTAATTAGATGCATAAAGGCGTGAGTTATTTGATATCAGTAAAGTAGATATGCAAATACTGCAGTTGTTGGTCATAAAAGTGATGGATATTATATAATATCACACAATTCAACGACATATTGTTTCTTAGTTCATTGTCAAGTAAACAGTCTTTTTGACATTGTCACTGCATATCAACAGATTAATGAAGTAGCTGTCAACCCTAACTGCTATATTTACTGGTACTGCAGACTTGGACTTGAGCAGTGTACGATCTTGCGACTGGTTAAAGAAAGTGACTTTAGCCTATCGAAAAGTACAGGATTATTATTCAACCTGTTAATTCCTGCTTAGTTTTTACAATGTGCTGTTGTATAGAAACATACACGAAATCTTATGAATGACTAAATACTCTAGTAAGTCTCCATCCCACTAAGATAAATATGCACTAATCCGAATTCACATATTACAAAAGCACATAGTATAGCGGCACGTTGAAGAAGTCCAGATGAAGTAGAAATGAAAAGTATATTAAACATTTCATTAATTTACAAAGAAAATTCTGATGAACGGTATTAGTGTTAGTTTGACCGATCGACATTTTCGTTGATTTCATTTTCGACAACCTCCATATACCTAAAAAAAATAAAGCATGTGTGAAGACTACCACAACATGAAGTTATGAAAGATAACTTTATCTATTAGTACACAATATGAATACATTGATTCTATTAACACTAAGCAAAATTCTCAAGCAAATAAAAGTATCTGTAGTCCACAGCTGGTTTTTATATTGACGTCGTATGCATAAATAGACCTCATATGTTTTCCAGTATTAGAGGATCATACGCAAATTTCAGGAAAAACTCTGAAACATCCAAACTCTTGAGGCATCATTCTCTCATCAAGATTACTTGCGGACCATCTTCACACCAAATACGTTTACATTAAAGGAAGTATTGCAAATGTGTAACTTAGAAATTAATCCACAATCTCAGTAGTGTCTAGTGAACATGGTTTTGTGAATACCACAAAAATTACATTCTCATGTTTAGAAAACTATAGTCATCAAATATAAAGTACATAGGTCTCAACTCTAAACAGTTATGCGCAGTGTTAACAACAGAGAGAAATACATTAAATATCGTAAGATACACAGACCTGCTGTGTTGATGAGGATAACAATGCCATATAATGCAACCTAGACATCCAATCGTGACACTGCATCTGTCCTGCTTCACGTAAATGGAAATTTCAGGAGAAATTCATCTCCACTGTTGATGATCAAAAACACTGCAGCATTAAGTTCACTGTGTCAGTGAGAATGGTATAGTAGATTGATAGATAGTAATAGAGACGACTAGAAACAGTTCTCATAATCAACGAAATCCATGTGTACAATAATACTATACACCAAATTACTGCACCAAGTGGAACAGTGAGGGAATTTAAGGGAGTCGTTGCCTTCTCCACTGCACTACATTTGCAACAATCATGAGAACCACCTACATCATCTGGCTTAGCAGTCAGCTAAGCAGACAGTGGTGCAATATTAATAAAGTTGAGGCGTTTTTTATACATTTAATCCAAATAATCCATATTACACTGCACCAATCAGTGCAAATATATATTAAATCCACTTAGAAATAACCTTTCAACTTTCGATAATTCCTGTCCAAACACACATACTGTGACACATCTGCATGATAACTTCTGTTCCCAAAGAAGGTTCTGTTAGCATTTGCAGGTGATTTACATGTACTGATAGCATTCTTTTATCAAACAGTACTGTTCTTGGCACGAAAATAGGCTGCATTGATATCCGGAGACATGAAGTCTTCATTGAGTGATATTATGCCGAAAGGTGCAGCTTCTACATGAAGTAAACGATTTGTGTAGATGAAATTACCCTCCAGCTATCCAATCTTGCTATTTATAGCGATATTTTGACGCAGTCCGGCTGAAACACTAATCATTGCAACCAGTATGCTAAGAGTGTGTGGCAGTGAGATCACATGACGTGGACACCAACATAACTAGTCAGGAAATGAGAATTCCCATCCATCCAGATAACATATAACACAATTTTATTGGAACTTATTGACAAAAAAATTTTCCAAGCGAAATTTCAACCAACGTGAGATATAAATCCAGCCTAAGTCTAGCCCATTTTCCTTTAGGAGAATTGAAAATTGAAATTTATTCTTTGGAGCGGTATTACACAGCTTGCGTTATGGAAGATGGTAGGCCTTAGGAATTGCAGGCTTTTTTATTGGTTTAGGCTCTGAATCTCTGAGAAACAGTAACTGGAATGTGAGAAAACAAGCAGTCGCTTCTCGGCGACACGTCGAGCTTGTCGGATTTTCAGAGACGCTGTCAGAAATGTATAATAGCGTCCTCCATTATGTCATGGAGCTATACCGAAGTAAAACAACTGTTATTTCATGATTAATTATGCATATAGATGACAGGGAATGTCAGTATTCTTGGCAACACTTTAGAAGTGCAGCAGATAGACTGGCTGAGATGCATAAATTTGTAAAACTCACAATACTTAAGACATATGAAATTGGGATTGTCGAGGGAGCGGCTTCTTTTTCTTCCGATTTCTTCGAAAAAATACGTGATGTACAGCTTCAAACAGGAAACGAGGTTTGTCACACTGTATTATATTATTATGCCTCACATATCATATAGAGCTATACTTCTGTTTTTAAAGCCTATAATATTTATAAAACTTGAAGACTAGTGCCATGTATTTTCGTAGCAGTTTGACTATCAGTTACATCACGTGGTGGGATAGTAGGAAATATACTTTCATTGTGTGATCTAATTTATTGGGCGAGATGTGAGGTTGGGACTAGAACAAAGAAGGGACTCTAATCCATTTTCTAAAATGCATTCCCTCCTCCATGTTTGCATAGTGTTTAGGCGATGTCATAGTGGCGTCGCATGTTCATAAACCACTTATCACAGATATTCCGTCTAGAACTACTCACCTGTGATACTACCTTGAAATTCTAAATCAAAGGTCAAAATGACATCAAATTTTAAACTGAAGCAAGTCGTTTCTATGCTTTCTGAAAGTAAAGTTGTATCCCCACTGTACTGCAGAACGCAGAGAATAGTACAAGGGTCCTATGTGATATCCTAACTTTTGTAAGATGAAATTAAAACTAAATACTGCTTAAATGCAAGCAAATCGTTAAATACATATTTTTTCTTTTGATGTGATCAAACATGAAAACAACTGTACTAGATAACTCGGCTCATATATGAATCGGTATTCCAAAGTTTTCCTCTATTAGTCGCTGCTATTTATTGACTTCGACTTAACTTATTGTGAACCCTGATTTGAAAATATTGACGTAGGGCTGACCGGCTTATATAAGTCCTTCCTGTTTATTAATGTCAAGGCTGTTCACTCTAACGTTAAAAAGTTTATCAGTATTTGACACTACTGTTTCTAACAAGGCACTCTACACATCTCTGTTTATATCTCCGCAGTATATGTGTAACTTCGAACTACTAAAACTTCGGTTTTAGGTATTTCAATTCCAATTGCTCACTTTGCTGCCTATGTTCAGTGGGTGTATACTATCCATCCAAATAAGATATAATTACCACCAGGAAAATCACATGACTGCTTAAAGTAGCCATTAGCCGTCTATCCGATCATCATAAACTTATATACATGAGATTGGCCTCATCAATCTAGGAGCATAGTTATCGAATCCGAAAAACACGATTTTCTTGCTTTCCAAACGTGTAGATCTGTTGGTGTGGAATCTGTACTTAAATACGAATGACTGATGTCAAAAGCGCTTTTTGGTGCGAAGGTCAATGTACTTCTTTTTCTACCAATATTTTAGATTATTTTTTGATAATTAAAAGACAGCAGCATCAGTTTTCCTTTGAAAAACATTTTCTTTTCTACTGCTTGCCCTCAGACCCGATTGTTCCTGAATGTTCCTCTGTTCGCAGCGCACACAAATGTGTGTAGGTTAATATAAGTTTTCAGAGTTCCCTTCACTGTGTCTACAATCAGGTCGTTAAGTCAGGAAATATGCGTGTTACCTGGTCAACAACCTGGATGTGAGAAATGGTCATTGGAGGTGGAAGATACGAAAAGGCTAGCTGTCTTTGATCATATGTGGCTGTGTTCTATCTTTCGTGTTAGGTGGTTTAATAGGGTGAGTAATATTGAGGTTAAGCGTCGAGTGCTAGGTAAGGAGGAGAAATCAGTAGACAAGGTTGTTAAGTTACATCGATTGAGTGGGATGGCTAGGACATGTGTTGCGTATGCTTAGACATCGCCTTCCTCAACTGGTGATGTTAGCTGACTTAGAATCAGGTTGCAAAAGAGCTAGTGGTGGTCAAACCAAAACATAACACCAGTCAGTAAAATCCGACACAGTTATTTTGAGTCACGTAGAGAGGTGTAGATTTCCTGGTTGGGGTTCGTTGGATGGTGAAAACTAATGGCTGGAGACAATTGTTGATATGGTTCGAAATCGTCCTCAATGGCACAGATGCATTCACTCTTTTTGATTTATCATATCCAGTAAAACTATTATTCCTCCGTATTACTATTCTTTTTGCCTCTCTCTCCCTCCTTTGAATCTCTCTTTACTCTCTTCTCTTGCTTTGTGTGGAGTTTGGCATTAAAAAGTGAATCACCATCGACCAACTTGTTGAGTATCTTTTCAATTTGCAGAGTTTTCTTACAGGAATGGCCTTCTACGCTGAAAATAAAATAGCTTGCCACTAAAATATTAGCATCACACAAACAATAAATGTGTTTGTTATACTTTTGAATTGTAGCGAAGAATTTTGTTGCTTCTTCCTTTTTTCAGAATATCCCATTCGACTACCTCCGACAGTATCTTTCCAGGCCAGATGATCCTCCACCGAAGTCTTTGCGGCGTATCAAACGTGTGGCTGTCCGCCGACGGTCAAGACCTATACACAATGTTAGGGAGATGGTTGAACACCACATTAGCCTGACGGATATAAACCGTAGACAGACTGAAACAGGCTCTTCATCTTATGCTCAACAGTCCACAACAGGACAGTGGGAGGCAGGAAATAAACAGTCAAATTGGACTGATATACAAAACACATCATCACCTTTGTACGCTGATACAGAGGTTGACTGTCGTAGTGAAGACAGTATAACGTCACAGAGTAGTTGTAGTTGTGATGAGTATTCAACAGATACCTCAATTTCAACTCAAGAAGATGATGAAGATGAAAGTGATCCTGTAGCCACATAATTACAACAATCCATAACCTGATAGTTTATATAGTTTTTGCTTTCTTCTTTGAGGCTCAGCATGGTTTACATATAAGCTCGTAAAGTGCCTGTTTGACTGAGCTATGGTTTTATAAACCGATATGTTAAACTGATCTCTTCAATCTTCAACGTATTCCAACAGCTTTCTTGTAGGTTTTTCCTGTCCTAACAACTTGGTTGTGTGATTATGCTTCATGGTGTTGTACACTTTCCTATATGCCTTTACTTATATTTTGTTGTTTTCTTTTTCTTTGAATGTATATGAAAATGTATTCCTTTGTTTAATTAGTTAACAGTGAGTCTTTCTTCATGTCATTTATTTTTGTAAACAAAGAACTATCGCACATTTGTGTATGACCAACCTCATGTTTGAGCCCATATTTTTGCTACTCTGATATTTACGCTTACTGAGTAGTCGCTTGTCTTTTTTCTGGATTGACTGTCAAATCAGTTATGTGAATATCTATATATGTGATGTGTATATCTCTTATTGGAATTTCAGTCTTACGTTTTTCGTTTTCTTCCCAAACTTTATCCACATGTATACAACATATGTATGTGTGATTGTATTTTGGAATTAAATAATTTCACTAAAGTGAACGTGGAAATTATCCCGAATATTTATATTTAAATAAAATCATCAAAATAAAATGGGGAATTGTCTTCAAAAAATTCATTTGTCTTTATACTTGTCTTGTAAGGTTTTGCTTCAAACAGCAATTCGTGAAGTGAATGTTTACGCGTCAATAATTCAATGGTAGAATGTCCGCTAACCACGCACAAAATCCGGGTTCGATTCCTGACTGACGCATTCTTAAACCCCATCTATTTTACTAGCTGGTAGTAAACCCGAGAAAAAAGGAAGGTTGGGAGTGAGGACAGCAACTCCAGTTCGTAAAAACAAAACTGCCGCTGTTGAAACTTGGAAGCTGGAAGCACTAAGTCCCACATGGAATGAAAAAAAATGTTTAATGCCGTGAGAAGGCAAAATAAGTAGTGGATACTACTTACTTTACTTCGGCTATCTCCTACGGGAGGATGAGCCGGCTTCATGAACATCTCGAACCATCGCTGCCCAGGCGCGGCGATCTGATGAAGAGAGTTCATGAAGTTTCATGGGAATTTGGTACGAGTGATGTCCCCAGAATCGCTCGGCCTTTTGTTTGAGAGTGCAGCTCTAGCCTTTACACAACCGAATGTGACCTACAAGGCAGTAGGAGTGGAGTAGGGAGTCCACTATCTATTGGCAGCCAGTGACCGGAGTTCGGTTCATACGCCTTTTTGAATGGGGCCAGATATCCAACAAGCCCTTTGTCCATACGTCTGCCGGTGAGCTCCAGTGAGCTTCATACACCAGTCGTTGGAGGTTTGGAATCAGGGTTTAGCCATCTCCCCTAGACTGTCACCCATTGGACAGTCAACCCGGTGAAGAGCGCCGGGCATCCGCTTTCGCCCTCTCACTTTGGTGAAAAACACCTCCGCCACGTGAAGGCAGTGAAGTGAAGGGGCACCCGGGTTTGAACCGGGGACCTCTTGATCTGCAGTCGAATGCTCTACCACTGAGCTATACCCCCGACTACTACTCTATAGATAAACAGTAATTGGAATTTTACTACTAGTTTATGCTTTTGGTGGTGTTATTAACGTTTTCCAGGTAGCGCAATCTACTCTCACAAATCCCAAAAGGTGTAGCCCTAAATTCCATCGAATTGGTCAGTTATGTGGGTAATAACCATGATCTGATGATTATGAGACTTATACTAATCAGATTGATTTTACTTATTTTGAGAGATATATTGCGACTCAGCATTTCTTTCGTAACCATCTTCGAATTATTATTATTTTTACCACAGCTTCCGGCAGTATTGCGTTCGCCAAGATGAATTTGCGAATCACTGGTCGAATCAAATGATTAGGTGACTATAGAAAGCCTGATAAACCCTAGAATTATTCGGTCAACAGTTTTGGGTTTCACAAGTGATGACTAACTACTTTTATTGAAAACAGGACATACATTATTCAAGGGATAACTGTCTGGACTGCAGATGTTGAAATAAATTGCACATCACTGCTTTAGTTCGTATGACTATGAAAGTAACTGCTACAATTTCGATTGCGTAAAGGATGATACTTTATAGTTAAGTGGGAGGTAATGTCAGATTTTCTATACTGAAGGAAACTTCGTAATACAGGTACGTTTCATAACTCAGTTAATGGCGTTTTGCTGGTTATCAGGATGCAGCTAGTGCGTTCCTAATCCAGACACCACTATATCCTACTAACATTATTCTAATGTGAAGCTATCTGGTTTAGTTTTGTTAAGTTTTAATTTCGTCACCTTTTTCGACATTTAGTCTAAAACTGTGTCTTTCACTAGTTTTCGTGTGCTGGGATTGTGCTGATTAAATCGCCACACTCAAAACTATCACCAGTAATTCCTTGTATTTGATTTTGAAATCTCAGTGGCACATCATCATGTCCAGGTATTTATACAGCTTCCTTATTCACTAGAAGTTTAAAAGTGCTTTAAGAAAACATGTTTTTTCAAGCTTATTTCTCATCAAATGGAATTCTTCTATCCCACATAAGAGTTGTTCATTAATCATTTTCATGACATTAGTGTGACTGGATTTTAATATTGGTAAACGAAAATTAAATGATTTCTGGTGTGAATGTAGGGCAGAAAAAAGGACTGCACTCACAGAATTATAAGTATTGCGTGAATCAAAGATTTTGTTAAAATACCAGTGTAAAGTAGATAATGTAGCCTGGAACCGATGGAAACTTGCCGTCATATGCGATTGTACTTATCCCTGAATGAAGAAGGAAATTTGATCAATAAGATCGTCAGAATATGTGTTACGCCTACTAAATTATCACCTTTTTATATGTGAGATGTTAGCTGAAATAGAGTCAGTCTAGAGAATTGTTAGGAGCGGCGAGACTAAAATAGTGTCAGTCTCTGAAGTTATTGACTATTGATCTAAGCCATGTGAGATGTGTTTATTTAAAACCCATTTGCCCGGAACTTATTTTTCATGTACCAGGCTGTATGCCACATTATAAGATGGCTGGTGATAGTCTCAAGCTGAAGAAGGTAAAGCGGTAGTCGAACTCGAAATTCACTGGCTCAAAGTGAAGAGCTGAAGCTAACGAACATCACGGAGATTAGGTTTTTTCAGAAACAAATTAGTTGCATTAGATGAGGAGACTTTAGTCAGTTTTTAAGACACTGCAAATCTTTCCAAATATTAATCTGGCTGTATTTTCTTCTGAACGTCTTCGTGTATTATGGCTTTATAACTTCTCTTATCTATGCGCTTGTGTGCTTATTTCTAAACTGTGGCAGTTTGAATTAATTCACCTGTGTACGAGTTTTTATGTTGCTTTGTCTGTCTATCAATCTAACACACATGTATATATAATCATATTTTCAAGTTTAGAGGGAATTACATTTCACTTAGATGTAGAAGAATAAGTTTCAATAGCTTTAAACCATCCTTCATATGTTTTCGAAAGATTTGATATCTACCTAACAAGTGAGTGCCTGTCCATGTGTATTTTTAGGTATGCCGAATTTGACTACTGCTCACGACCATCAACATTTTTACAGTTTACGTAAAGATGCGGCTTAGACACTTGCTTTCGGTCAGTGGGTCTGGGGTTCGAGTTTCATCTTACAGACTTCAGTATAAGCAGTTAGGTAGTATCACTAACATTCACTCAATAAGTAAGGCTTAAAGGATGGTACAGAAGAAATCTCTTCCGGGTGACTTTTAACAAAACAACACAATATGCACTTATATAAGGCAATTATGCACTTTATATTTACCCCGTATTTGGCATTTATTAGATTTATTGTTATACCACTCTAAAATCATCTGCATCATTCAATAATTCCGTTTATTCTTGTACATATATTTGTATGTAAGAATATAAGAGTCTGAATCTACCATGGTTGATAGTTTGATAAGAAAAGCATCTAAGCTATCTGTCTATTCATAGTGTTTATCATTGTCTTATAATTCTGTATACTGGGTGATAAGATGAGAACTCATAACTAATCGCCTATATCTTTGATTATAAATGCAATAGAGGAGTCAGGTGTCAGCGGTTCAGTAGTAAAATGCTTGCCAGACATGCATATGATCCCAGTTTGATTCCCAACCAACGTACTTCTAAACCTCACCTAGTTAACTGGCTGGCAGTAAAGAGGGAAGGTTGAGGGCGTGAGACTAGGAACCCCACCTTGTAAGAAACAACACTGCTAATGAGACTTGAACCCTTACGCTCCATTAGGAATGTAGAAGGAAATCGATCATGTCTATGATTGCAATTTTGAATATCACAGGTTTGAATTATGTGGCCAATATATATATATATGATATTAGATAGTTATAGGCAATCGGCCACAGGAAGCCTTGGACCTAGGTTTCGTGCTAGTTGGCACTCGTCAGCGAGGCGTATCTGCAACCTTGAAAGAACTCATGTCCCTTCTGAGATTTGAACCCGCGTCACCCAGTGCCGCCTGCAGTCAGAGACGTTACCATCAAAGAAACGACTAGACACGTCACACTAGTTACTAGTGTCCAATGAATATATATATATATATATATATATATATATACAGCAGGTTCCCATAGGGTTACAGATACGCCTTATTGGTGAGTACTGACTTGCATGAAAAGTCAAATCACAGGCATCTTATTTAAATATATGGTTTACCTTAAATAATATCTTGGAGGAGAAAATATATTGAAGAAACAAAAAAGTGTTAGAAGTAGAATACCACAATGTAATATCTACTACAATATGATTCAGTGTCAACTAGAAATGAGGTAAATTTAAGATCAGATTGCCGGTTGAAAACGATAAGCATCAAGGAACCCTAACAGTGAACCAGCTAAGAACCTATTGACCAACAAATGTGAGTAGAAGGAAATTGAGATAGATTGGCCATACAATAAGCAGACCGTCAAGTGGAATAACCCCATAACAAGCCCTTGAGTCTAACCTCAATGGGAAATGACTAGTTGGACATTAGTTCAAGGATGACATGGAAGTGATCTTGTGAGGAAGAAAGAAAAGCTTATGGGCAATCGTTGAGCCAGCTACAAAAGACTTCAGAGAACAAAGTGAAGCAGCGATGTGCTGCTGGAGCCCTATGGAATAATAATAATAATATTAGTAAACTGTAAGTATCATATACGAAGGGATTTCAATCTACTTGGCTTGGTGATGGGCTATGAGTTGGTTTGCTGGTTAAAAGAAAGTAAACAAGAACACTAAGCCCAATATTTGTATTTATGAAGTAAAATATACGTAAATACATAAATAAAAGATTGCAAAATCTGTTAAACCTATTTATATTAAGAAAGATTATACATCATGACCATGATTATATGTATTACAATTCCATATATATATATTACCTACTACTTTTAACACATACATACACGATAACTTTATTGTACGAGCTAATGTTGTATGTGAGGGACAGAAACGGAGAGAGATACAAAAAGATTTATTGCGCTAAGGCAATTATGCACATTCACAAGTGGGATTTCCTCATATACCCCACCAGAAAAAAATTATAGTTGCTGACATATCTTTAATTGTTATCATTTAGCTGTTTCAGTGATTCATATTCTTCTTTCGATCGAAATATACCCTGTTTATAAGATAAAATAAAACGAAAACCAGAGAATATCAGCTGAAAGCATAAATGCCTTCATATATATATATATATATATATATATATATATATAATAGTTTAGGTGAGTTGTTTTGATGTGATTGTGTTCTCTGAGCTGGGTGATTTAATTGAAAAGATTTCATTCTCATTCTAGACAACAGCTTCAATCCAGACTTTAATGTAAAGTGAGCTTTTACGAATTCTGGGTTGAAGGTGTTGCCGAGAAAGGCAATGAAATTTGTTCAACTAAACCATTCAGCTCAAATAACATAACATCGATATATATACATATTATATTATTATTGTTCCCTTGGGTTCCTAGTGGAACATAGGGCTTCAACTGCACGTCTCCACTTGTTTCTGTCTTCTGCTGTACTTTTCACCTGCGTCCATGTTAATCCATACTGTTCCAACTCCTCTTCACACGATCTCCTCCATGTCACCCTTGCACCGACGAACCACTCGCCGCTTCCCTTTCGGGTTCCACTCGAGCACTGGCCTGACGCGCGATGTCACCCAGTGGCCTCCTCAGCGAGTGTCCAATCCATCTCCACTTTCTCCTGCATATTTGTTGGGTGATTGGTTCTTGTTTCGTTTGTTCCCATAGTTTCTTGTTTGTGATTCTTTCTGGCCATCTGATCTTCAGTATAGAGCCAGCGAAGACAGTTGTTGATAAATGTCTGCAACAGGCTGTTGGAAATATTCTTTGTGACACAATGGCCAAGTTTCTGATCCATCCGTATAGAAGAACTGACTGACTTGACGTTTGTATTGAAAATCCGAATTTTGTTGTTGATGCTGAGTGACGAAGATTTCCAGATTGGTTTCAGGTTGATGAATGTGTTTCTCGCCTTCCCGATTCTCAATTTGACATCCTCGTCCGTTCCTCCTGTAGTTGAGACGATGCTACCTAGATAAGTGAATGAAGTAACCTCTTTCAAATCCCTCCAGTTGATGGTGATTGGCGCTGGATGTGGCTGCTGCTGTTGTTGTTGTTGGTTGGTTGGTTATTTTCATAACCTCCGTCTTGTCTATGTTCACCTGGAGTCAGTCCTGTCTTTGCTGCTTCTTCGACCAGTTTGTCGGTTTTCGCTTGTAAGTCTTCGATTTTATATGACATCAAACATAAATCATCTGCGAAATCCAGGTCTTCTAGATTCTTCACGTCGGTCCAGGATATCCCTGTATTCTCGTTTCCCACTGTCTGACGCATAATCCAGTCCACCACAATTAGAAATATCATTGGTGATAGTAAGCACCCTTGTCTGACTCCTGTGTTTACTCCAAACGCCTCGCCGAGTTTTCCGTTGTGGATCACTTGACATGTGCCGTTATCGTACAGCTGTTGAATAAGGTTGATAAATATTTGGGGTACGCCGTAGTACTCGAGTAGTTTCCAAATTACTTCGCGGTCAACGCTGTCGAAGGCCTTCTCAAAGTCTATGAAGTTGAGGTAGAGGTTTGATTGCCATTCCATGCTTTGTTCGATGATGATACGTGGAGTTGCAATTTGGTCAGAACATGATTTGAAACTACGAAATGATATCATCTCGCGAAATTTTTCTTCTTAATGCCTTATTCAGAACATGATTTGCCTTTCCTGAATCCAGCTTGTTCTGGTCGGAGTTCTGTATTCAGTGCGTCCTTTATTCTCTCCAGGATGATGCGACTCAGAGAGAGTATTAAGGAAGGAAGGCAGGTTAATTAACAAAATGTCAATTCTAGGTGATTGAAGTAACTTAAATTTGTGTGTTGTGAAGTTTGGGTCATTATCTTCCCCAAAAAGCAACTAAGTAAGATTATAAAATATTGAGAAAGATTTATAGTTCATGTAGGTGTTTATGTTGTGGCTGTGTTCCCTGTTTTGTGTGGTTTAATTGAAATAGCGGGCACTGAAGATATTGTCTAAAAGGATAATGAAAGTTCCACAATTAAACCTTCCAGAACACAATCACATCAGTAAGAAGCAGGACTATATTTATAGAAAGTTATAGGTAGCCTTGCACTGGAATCTAAGAAAGAAAAACCAATGACCATTGTTTCGAGGGACGCAGATTGTCTGGATTGATTTGGCAAGTGAAACAGACACACTCGCAGTTGTAGACAGGATCTGAACGACATGAACATCTTGGTAAGAGAATGAGCGACTTAGGTTACTATTTAGTTTGAGGAAGTAAATAATTTGAATTGAAAACTTCCTACTGAATAAATTTTGACGCATAACTTGCTTTTATTACATTACATTAGTTCTACTGGTTGAAACAGTTGACAAATTCCAGATTTAGGAAATTATATTTCTCATGGATTTACTGAATAGTTAATTAGGTGAGATTGAAAGGTCATGATGTTATACATCAGTTATCCAACTTCAGATAATTTCAAGTTCGTCAAAAATAACAGATTCTCATTAGACTTGAAGTTTAAGTATTTCCCAATAAATTTATATCTCACTGTCAAGAAACCATGCTATGTGTATATACTGGTTACAACATTGTAATATCCTAAAATTTCTTCGCATAGGTTTGTGCAGAAATATATCACTGATTTATTTGTAATAGTTATCTTTGGATAGCGTTATAAGAAGACGGAGATTATCTGAAAAATGTGATGTATTTGCGCTAAACATTTCGAACAATCTGATCACACATTTACTTGTCAAGTCGATATATATATGAAAACGTTAAATTAAACAAAGTGACAAAAAAAAGGATTTAAGAATGATTAACACAACGTTTGGTAATCCAATCAAATGAGGATTACCAAGGTAGGTTAAGAGTAATAATAAATTGTTATTGAACACACGGGGGGGGGGGGGGGTAAGTTTATGAATAGCTATAGCCTCAGCGTATTTCAGTAAACGCCCTTGACCGTTTTTATAGATGACCTTAAAGGCTGAGTTGACATCAGTCTTATGGTTCATCTATATTAGGTGTTTAGCTATAGACGAAGTCGGTAGTCTGACACCTGCATCTGTTGGTTTTTCACAGTTCATTTGTCAGACTACCAAATTCGTCTTTAGCTAAACATAATCCTTATTTGATTGGATTACCAAACGTTGTGTTAATGATTCTTAAATCCTTTTATTTTTGTCACTTTGTTTAATTTAACGTTTTCAAATACATATCGACTTGACAAGTAAATGTGTGATCAGATTGTTCAAAATGTTTAGAGTAAATACATCACATTTTTAAGATAATCTCAGTCTTCTTATAACGCTATCCAAATTTATAAAAGGGACAAACTGTTTTAAATAGTTATCTTTCTTTACTGTTAATCAGAATATCCGTATTTATCTATATATTTGATAACTAATATAGCTTGATGTTGTTTTAAGCACCAGTAGTCTGTGAAGTCTTTAACTGTTGCTTTCAGTCACGCAGCGAGGTGTAGACTGACTGCTTAGCATCCTTGGAATACTAAAAATCAACTGTTGTAGACTCTTCACAACATATCTTATCACAACGCCTGTGAAGGGCCTTCAAAAGGACTTTCTATGCAGCTAAGCTATGCTGTGTATCCACTAACCGACCAATACTTAGTTCAAGAAATAAAGACAGACTGCCCTGTTTTGCCTCATCCATATGTATTTACCAGTTTAACTGCTCGTGTGGAGATAGTTACACTGGGGGTAAGCTCAGGCAGTGAAACAGTATCATTTATTGGATGACTAAGTTTCGAACACAATTTATTGTTCATAATCATATCAATTATTGATTATGAAAAGTTATTGTTATTATTATTATCAACTATTGTTTTTATGAATAATAAATAGTGTTCGAAAAGTCATCCAGTGAATAATACTGTTTCACGGTGTCATATCTAATAAATAAATAAATATGGAATTGATTAAAAATGCTCATTAAAATATTTTTAAAGAATGGTTACTGAAAATAGAATATTCTTTTCGATAACCTGCTCTTCATCAGGTTCTACAGTTATATATATACATATTGGTTGATGAATGAATTAGTGTTATTTACAACATTAATGTTGTTTAAATAACAGAGAATCAATAATAATAATAATAATATCAATGGATTACAGTTCAATAGTATCAATATAACAATACACTGAATATCAGAAAAATTAGGGTAAATAATAATACAAATTCATGAATCTATAGTCTCCACTGAAAACCATCCATGGCAGTAATGGTGGCTGGACTTGTTTCTTGTGAACACAGAGCACCGGTTGTTGCAGGCGAATCGCGATAGCCTCTACTGTTTGGAGTATGCGGTACCTGGATGTTTTTGGCAATTTGTTTGGTATCCGATAGATGATGGAGAAAGATTCTTCAATGATGGCTTTGTGGCTGGTTTCGACCAGGTGGTCTAATGTCAAACTGTTGACGGTTTTTACTACACCTTTACTTAGCCATACTGGGAAATGTTCTCGAGCATGAAAAATTAAGTTCCTAGAGCAACAGTCAATATTACTCACTCCACAAGTGCAGTTGAATTGTTACACACAACTGAGAATGGCTAGTCTAGAAACTTCATCTTTCAATCGAGGAATCACCATCGGACGTATAGAAAACATGACTTATAGTTTAGCAGCATCAAAAGTTCTTTAGATTTTTTTCTTATCTTGTTAGCAATTATTTCACTAGGTGCATCACTCTTAAATTGCAGCCGTACATATGAAGGTTTCTTATTTACAGATCGAGAATAGTCCTTTTCCCCTTTCTTTGTCATCTGTTTCTTGATAAATTTGTCGAGATAGCTATTTTAAATCAAAATATCATATAAAATACTTAGTTCATCTTCAATTACCTCTTCTGAGCATGTAGCTCTAGCGCTATGACTGAGGGTCTTCACTAAATTTCCTTTGTACTGGAGAGGAACGAAGCTATGAAAGTGTGTCTATTGTCTTACCCATGTGCCTTTCCTATGCAGACGTCTCTTTATACTACCATCTGGTTTTCTTGTAAGGATGATATCTAGGAAGGCAATTCTATTTTGGAATTCCTTTCCGCACGTGAATTTCATAGCAGAATGTACTTCACTGAATTGAGTTATCATTGTGTTCCTATCCGAATCGTTATCACAAAGAATAAAGGTGTCATCCATATATCGGCAATACGATGAGAATTTTCTTATAAGGTTGTTCAGAGGTCCATTCTCTAGTTTACTTAGAAAGAAATATGCCGAAATGGGACCCAATGGGGAGCCCATCGTTACCTCATCCATTTGTCTTTAAAGTGTGGAATTACATGCTACCACAGTTTCATACATATTTATTAATTTGAACTAAAACTTAGAAAATCAGCAGTCTCGTAGTTGTCGGGTCATCCTTGATATCTCGGGAATAATGAACTGTTGTGGAAAATCCATTATAATAAAGGTTTTTGTATTTCCCAATGAATGAAAAACATAACGATATTGTTTTTACTGACGTTTCGCTATTTAATGCTGCTAATAGCTTTATCACAGTATTATTAAACCAGAATTTACAAAATCTCAGCATATATATAATAAAGAGTTAAGAGGTGAGAAAATAGACTTAGGTCAAGTTAAAATGACATATTGTAAGTCAAAATAATAATGAAGATCACTAAATCAAATAACATAGGTAATAGTACATCTGCTATGGTTTACTAACTTGATCATCGTTCGTAAGTAAGGGATCATTTTTCGTTGTCAAATTGGCCAATAGGTAAAGATAACAAAACCAAGTGTAGATTGTTGGATTCGATAAGTATGTAAAATTATAAAACAGTGTGTGTTTATAGAGTGATATTGCTTATCACATTCGTGTTGATTTTGTCACTCCATGTGGGAGGGGGGTGTTGCAACCAGGTCAAATTCTGTTTTAGTCCATCATTCCTATTCAGACAATTTGGATTCCAATTGATATGAAGTGCTTCTGATATTTGACGTTCTTTGTGATTTCTGATACCATAGTAGATGTACTATTGTAACAACAGAAGACAAGGGCCAGGCAACAAATCGTCTATTAAGGAAATCAACACATATCTATAGATTTTCATGTACATTATTATAGATTATTGTTAGTAGAAAAACACAGTCTTCTGATTGGTTGTTTCTCACTGAAAGTTAATCTTTCATCTCTTTGTGGCTGTTTCGTGAACGTCAGATCATCTATCTGCTATTGTATCCGCCTACGCAAAGTCTGCTGTGATTGGTTGTTGAGTCAGTCTTTGCTCTTGTTTTCACATGACCAATATTTGGGACATAAACATTGACGTAAATTACTGTCTACCAATTTGGCTAGCAGCCAGCTCTCACCACACTATCACCTTTGTTATTTGATTTAGTGATCTTCATTATTATTTTGACTTTCAATATGTCTTTTCAACTTGACCTAAGTCTGTTTTCTCACCTCTTAACTCTTTGTTATATATATATATATATGCTGAGATTTGTAAATTCCGGTTTAATAATACTTTGATAAAGCTATTAGCAGCATTAAATAGCGAAATGTCAGTAAAAACAATATCGTTATGTTTTTCATTCATTGGGAAATAAAAGAAAACCTTTATTATAATGAATATCATATACTCAATGCCCAAATTTTTTCAAACTATTGTGGAAAATGTTTGGAATAATGATTCTTACCATTTCACTGTGTTTTATATTTTTTCAAACCTTATTCAGAAATCATTGAACTAACAACTTACTTTAGGTAGATGATTCCATAAGTTATTAGCATGTTGTCTTAGCATGCGTTGTCTTTCTTCTTCAACAATACGTTGCTCAGTTAAAACACGTTGTTTTTCCTCTTCTAATTCTTTTTTCGCTTTTTCATATTCTAGCATTATTCTTTGACGTTTTTCTATTAATAGCTTGTGTGCTTCATTAGCATATTCCATTTGTTTCATATGCCGTTTATGTAATTCTTCTTTTTCTAAACGTTCATCTTCTTCAAATTTCGCCAACATGTAATTTCGAATTTTCATAGCTTCTTGTTTTTCTAGCTGTAAATTTTAAGCGGGGATTTGGAAAAGACAAAAGAACAGAGATGGATATTATTTGTTACAGTTTAAATGTGAAAATATTTCATATGGGAAACATAATAAGCTTTCACAATGCGATAAAGCAGACGTAATGAAATCGAGTCTCTTATGAAGGTATATAAATGTGAACGATAGTCATTAATGAACTAAGAGTGGGAGAAGTTGATAGAAAGTTATCTACAATGAAAAGACGAAGAAAATTAGATTTACAACCCTATTTATTTTAGCGTTTTGAACCACAGTTTTTGAAATATCGAAGATGACAATGAAAAATTCGAAAATCCTTTACACACTTTGACTTATAAATTAAAGACTCGATGAAAAAGTAGAATTCTGCCACCGTATCAGACGGGAGTAAGAACAAGGCTGTCTACTATCTCCACTGATTTTCTTTATTGCGGTTGACTCGATAATGGGACAGATAGCGGGTAATAAGGAGACAGGCATAAAATGGACCCACACAAAAACTTAGAGGATCTGGATTTCTCTGATGATATGTGTCTGATTCCCCACAAACTGAAAGATGTGCAAGTGAAAAACAAAAAGTTGGCAGAAGAAGCATCCGGAGAAGATAGGACTTCAGGTGAACATAGACAAAACAGAAGTGATAAAGATTCCTGACCGACAGCAACAAAAACAGACGACAATCAGCATACATGAGAGAAATCTGAAGGAAGCAACCTCCTTCACCTATCTACCTGGGAAGCATCGTTTCAACTATAGGCGGAACTGACGAGGATATCAAAGCGAGGATCGGGAAAGGAAGGCAACCTTTCATTACTTTCAAGTCTGTGTGGAGATCAACAGCATTCAGCATGAAAAATAAAATGAGGATTTTCAACTCCAATGTGTAGTCAGTGCTACTATACAGACCAGATACTTGGCGCGAATAATATCGTCCATTCTGTATTACTCATGTTTTGTTCCTCTTATGTTGATTATTAAGTTCTTCCCAGAGATATAACTTTCTTCTCGACATTCCTCTTTAGTGGTTCATCTAATGACATAAAAATTATTATTGCTTTTACTAAGAAGTTACTATATACAGAGTAGTAGACATACGTCTAGATGCGCTCATGGGCACTGCTTAGCAAGGTTGTCCTCAGAAGAATGTAGAACAGTCATGAGCTCAGTTACGGAGCACATTATTACTTCTAGTCATGCAACATCAGCGGAGACTTCATTCAGACACCACACAGGAAGTAGGATCAAGTCCGTCAAAAAGGATTTCTTTCACGTCATCATGTAGTCCATGTGTTTACCATCTATCAGGAAAAACCTGAACTTTGTGCTCTGAAACTTCAAATTCAGCCTCACGTACTGTTATGGTTTTACTGTCCATTGTCGTCTCTCGACCTGTTGCATAATAAACTCTATGTAGTTTTTTTTGTTTTTCATGGTCCACTTTTAATTATTTGTGCTCTGGTTTCCTATGATTAATCTCTAAATAACTAATCAATATTTAATTAATCAGTTGTGCACGTTCTTTGTTACGCAAGACTGTTTGTTACTTTTCATACATTGCTATTTCTCATGTACTATGGTATATCTTCACTACTAATTGACAGTAATCTCTGATCCTTGTTGGCAATTAATGTTGTACCTATAAATACCTTAAATAACTGTATGGTTTTTGGTGAGAAGTTGCCAAAACAGATCACACTGTTGACTTATGTATGCTTAATTTACATCATGTGGGGATTTTCCATAACTCTTTTTCAGACGCAATAGAGAGATGGCTCATTGTTTCAGCTAGTGGGTCCTTAGTTCGACCCCCGTTCTATCTGATTCAGCCCAGACAGCTCTCATAAAATCGTTGTGGTCCTTAGCCTCATACTTGGATAATGTATTTTAGGCAACTATTTTCTAACTGACTGACTTCTTGACAGTTACTTTTCATACATAATCATTAATAACTTAGTAGAGTTGAATAAACAATAAAGTATGAAGAGGGTACAAAATTAAGTTTAAATTGAAATCCATTAGATGAATGGCAATATAAGCGTACCTTGATGGAATCACACATGTACGCATTTATGGATTCCCAAACTAGGATGAGAAAACCATAAGGTTCTCATTTCTTTCTTACATACGCCTAAGTTATATTGACTCCTTAAAAAGCACATTTCTGGAGTTCCCTCCCAAGCAGTTATCTAGAATTCGGGTGGTTTGAAACTGATTCGGATCTATGAGCTGGGTCAAACTGGTAATGATGTTATCTCCAAAGGGACAAGACAGCCATCCAGGGTATTTTATCACTTTGATATGGCTAGTAAGCAATACCGGTTGACGTGAGTATTTTCCAACTACCCATATGGGTCGATCAGCAGTACGCAGAGTCAAACATTTCTGCTTACTTTCTTGATCGCCATTATGTGGATCACATATTGTGACTCATAGTCTGACTTAACAAAATAAATCTTAAATAATAAGAAACCTTATTGTTAAACGTTATTCATTAGATTACTACAAAGTATGTAGATACTTGATAATTAAATCATTCAATGAACTGTAGTCTTTTAGACAATTCGGTCATACATTTATTCCCCTTAATGAATCTGAATCAAGCAAGAACAACAGTTTTTGCAGAATAAAATGGTACCATCATTTATTTTGTTGGTTTCTCGTTAGCCGATTACAGCCCAAAGTCATTATTAAGTATATCTACAGAAAAATTTTTAACATACTTGCACAGAGTGCATTTTTAAACAAAAATCAACCAATCAATATGTGCGTACAGTAACAATATATATAAAAACAAACACTTTATCCCGAACAATAATGACCATACACAATGGAAACTTTCGGCATTACGTAACCAGATGAAAGAGAGGGTGAAAATACCCAGTTGCCGGGGCAACGAAAGACTGACAACCGCTTCTTTCTGTGCAAGTATGTTCAAATTGTTTCTGTAGATATACTTAATAATGACATTGGGCTGTAAGCAGCTGATGAGAAGCCAACGAAATAAATGATAGTGTAACAACAGAAGACAAGGCTGGCAACAGATCAGTTTTATTACAAAAACCAACAGGTATTTACATGTATTTTACGTACATTAATAAGGCTCTGCCCGCAGAAAGAAGGCGGTCTTCTGATTGGTTGTTTGCAAACAAACGCAGTCTTCTGCTTTCTCGTTTTCGATATTTCTCGGAAATGCGAGCCACTTGTCTGCGAATCATATTTGTCCACGTCTAGGTCAGCTGTGATCGGTTGTTAAATCAGCCTAGATCAATTTCCACCAATCAGCGTAGATCAATGTCTACCAATTGGCTAGCAGCTTGCTCTCACCACAATAGTACCATTTTATTCTTCAAAAACTATTGTCCTTGCATCATTCAAATTCAGTCATATTAGAAAAACAACAAAAATGTTGTTCAAATGTCCTAACTCGGTCACTCGAAATATATTTCAAACACGCCGTGCTAATATCCACAATTATTGTGTGTGTGTGTGTGTACGTGGAGGGCAGCTGATGATGTCATCTAGTCACCTAGGCTGAAGTGGATGGAGCGGGCTTCAGATCTATGACCATCCGGTTAAAAGTTGGGTGTTTCTTCGAATGAGATATGTCTTCAGTGTCCAAATGTACCTGATTAGATTAACTGACATGAGTGAGTTTCTGTTGGCCTTAATTGGTTTCTTGATGTTTGAAGTGATATTAATGTCGAACTACTTCATTTTCTTCAGTAAGTTTCCTTAATCGATTTTACACAAACATGCTGAAATCAGAGTAATTAGATATAACGTTGTTTTGCTAAATAGTTAGAACTATCATCAAGTTATTTGACATTCACGGATTCACTTTTAACTTGTTGACATTATTTAGATGACAATAATGCACAAAATATTCTTAGAAGCAAAACTGAGTCCCTAAAAGCGCTTATTGGTGGAAACAGATATCTAAACTCTCCAATCGTGAAACATATTACTGAAACAGGGCATAAAATACATATCTACATATCATATAAACCCATCTATAAAATCTCTTGACGCTGTAATTTAAATGTTTAGGAAGTTTTAGCGAATGCTATTATCATTCCCTTAGGTTCTCAGTGGAACATAAAGCTTCAACAAAACGTCTTCATTTCATTCTGTTTTCTTCAGACTTCTTTGGCTGGCTTCAGAGTCGCTCATGAACTCTTGTCTACTCCACCAACGACCTCCTTTATTTCAGCCTCAAAAGTCCGACTCGTCTTTTTCCATTCCTGTTCCTCTCGAGAGCCAGACTGGTGTGTGATGATACTGGACGGTCTCATGTCCAATCCATTCATCTTCATTTTCTTTAGCATATTTTTCGAGCGATGGATTACTGGTTGGTTCGTTGCTAGAGTTCCTTATTGCTAATCATTTCTGGCCAGTTGATCTGCTGCATAGAGTGAAGGCAGCTATTGATAAAAGTCTACACTGGCCTGTTGAAAATACTTTTGGTGGCTCATCAAGTCTCTGAACTATATAAAAGAACTGATTTTAGCGATTAAGAGGCTTGAACCGCGTTTAACTATTCACAAGCAACTTGTAATCACAATAAATTTTGTTTTGAAACGAAAATAGATGTTTACAGGATTTCATCATGAGCTGACATTGGTTAGAGAACCATTGGCAAACCTGGGAGTACTGGACAGCTGTTTCCTCCGTCCTAGTTTGGGAATCTTCGTCAGTACGCACCCACCGGGGGTCAACCCAGGACCTTCTGGTTACAAGGCGAGCTCGTAGACCTTCAAGCCAATGGTCCATGAATCCTAACTTCTGCCAGTTCATGATGAAATCCTGTAACCAATCAACCAAATCACTACAAACCAATACTTGAATAAAAATAGATGTGTCATTATCACTCCTTCTCTTGCTTTATTGCTCTCCCTTGTTATTTTCACCTTCAATATAGCCTTTTAATTTCATTGGTATTCTTCCTCTCACTCCCTAATGTTTGATTAATTTCCATATTAATTCATACGATAAAT